CGGGAGGCGGACAAGCAGCGGGGAGCGGCGCGGCAAGGGGCCGGACGCGGTGCGAGGCCTCCCCGCCAGGGTGCAGACGGGGACTGGGAGCTGTTTCCGCAGCATTTTCAAGTTTTACTGTAAAAACCTGCAGCGCGCGAGACGCGTCTTTCCCCGAAAGGGCCGCGTCCCCGCTGCTGGGAGGCACGTTGAACCTGGCGACGTTCGGGCCACGTTCAGACAGAGTTTCTCCTGCCTTTGGTCACCGGAGCCAGGCCTGCTTTCTGGTTTTGTGTGCTCTTGATTTTTTGTTAATCTTCACCGAAGGCAATTTTTTCCATTGATTTTTTTTTTTTTTAGAAAGAGTGGAGGGAGGGAGGGAAGGAGAGAGAGAGAAACATCGATGTGAGAGAGACACACGGATTGGTTGCCTCCCACGTGCTCCCCAACCAGGCCGGGGATCGAGCCTGCCACCCAGGTACTTGCCCTTGACCAGGAATCGAACCCAAGGCCCAGGCAAATGCTCTAACCACTGAGCCACGCCAGCCAGGGCTGTTCTCGTGGACCCTTGATTTGGTGGGTTTTATGTTTTTATTTTGCCTCTGTCTTGGCGAGGAAAGCGCTCTTGGCCTTTCAGAAGGAGATCCGCCTCTTCCCGGTTTATCATAGCCAGGTTTTCCTTCAGGGCGTCATTAAATATTTTGTGGCTGTTTCAGGTCCCTGCCTTTACTCGACTTCATGGGGTCCCGCTGGGGACGCTCCCTTCTCGCTTCCCAAAGTTCCCCCGTTACTGATCTCGGCTCCGTGTCACGGCTCAGAGATCTGATTTGTGTCATTTTAAGTGGCTTATTCGTTCCCCTTATCAGAGTGTTTGGCTCTTTATCAGTCAAGATGGAAATGACGCAGTTCAGACCGCGCACCGCTAAAGGTGGGGAGAAACCATGACGGTGGCCGGAGGAACCGCGTGGGGGCCCCTCGCTAGCCGCGTTGCTGGGTGGGCCCTGGGTGTGAGCAGCGGCACGTCGGCTGCGGTCTGGGTCTGCTTTATCCTGGGAGGTTTTCTCCGGTGTGAGCTCAAGTAATGAAAACGATGTGCCTCGACGAAATGATTAAATCTGGGCAACCTCTTACCTAAAATGTCTACCTACACAAAGCCCAGTTCTTTACATTTTATGGAAACAGACCTTCAATAAATGGGACTAACCTGTTGTATGTGTCCCTTTCTAAATACTTGCTTTCGGCTTAGCTTTTAGAGATCGAAAAAAATTTTGAAGTCTTTACCTCCCCCAATGAATGATGGCTGTTTATATTCTGAAATGTCTATTTTTGTGATGCAAAGATTATCCAATCCTTGTGTTTTAATACAAAGGGTGTTATGAAAAGAAGAGACCAAATACAAGCAGAGCTGGAGTCCAGGGTGGAAGCTCTGACGTACAAAAAGGCCGACGCTGACCTGGTAAGTCGCCAAGGCGCCTGACGGAGCGTCGAGTGGCTTCCCTCGCGCTCCTCGCAGCCCTCGCAGCTCCAGCGCGTGCTCGCTTCCACGCCCCCGCCGACGATGCGAAGGCCTCTCCCAAAATCTCTCCCCGAATCTATGAGACACTGAGCACCCAGGGAGCCTGCAAGCTCAACGGTGGTGCTTTTCAGTCCTTCTGTCTTATATTGTTTCTTAGGATGATTAAAGTATGAAGTCTGTTTTTCTAATTGGAGGTTAGAAGGTATGAAGTCCCTAGCCCTGCTCCAGGAGGTGAGCCAGCGCTCAGTATATAAATGCGCTTATCTAGCTGATAAGGTATTTATACAAAATACGTGGGTGCTCTTGTACGCTTTTTCCAGATAGTGCGAAAACCTTTACAAAGGTGAAGTATCTTTGTTTTCAAGTTGAATCCTTGTCTTAACATACCCCTTTATGGAAATTTTCAAACATAAAAAGAGGTCCAGTAATAGAGTGAACTCACCTACCCATCCCGGGGCTTCATTAACTTCCAACAGCCACTCAGCTTTTTTCGTCTACCTTTCTTCTCCCTTCTTTCCCCTGATGTGGTCTCGAAGGACCCTCCTTGGTTCGAGGCCTTCTGCGTATTGTAATTCCAGGCATGCTATTAGCACACGCAGCATTTTAGTATTTATATTTTACTTGCAGATTGAAATTCATATTCTCATTTTAAAGTTGAGCAGTGGGCTCGGAAGGTGGAGTAACTTGGCCAAGTTTACACAGGTCTTGATACCCAGGGGGGTTGGGGGCGATGGCATCGCTTGCTCCCCTCGGACCATGCTGCCCATCAGAGAGCAGGTTTCAAGGGGAAAGATTAGCCCTGCCCCGGGCGCCAAAAGTCTGCAGGTTCGAGTCCAGGCTGCAGGTTCCACCCCCAGCAGGGGCCGTGCAGGAGGCAGCCAGTCGGTGTTTCTCTCTCTCTTTTCTCTCTGTTCCTCTCTCTCTAAAGTCAATTGAAAAAACATTTTTAAAAGGGAACAGATTACAACTTGGTTGACTTCTGTTGAGTTCTCTGTGAAAGAGACCTTCTTAATCTTTTTTTTTTCAATTCGAGGAGGTCGGTGGGTGTTGAGTGCGCTTACAGCAGGTGAGGAGGGGAGTCCTTGAAACCCCCATTTATCCGCAGTATTGTAGCTCCCCATCCAAACTGCTTTAATTTGTCCCCGGTTTTTCTAACACAGGATATGATGCCCTTACTGGTTTTCTTTATATCATCTTTCATTCTTTCTCCCCGTGTCTATAATGGTGTTTGTTTTTCAAAGTCAAGTTCATCCTCCTGAACAGGGTGTGATGGGGTGTGGTGGGCTGCTGTGGGCAGAGGAGGCGGACTCCGTGAGAGAGAAAAACAGGAAAGTAGTGGAATAAACCCGAGATGAACCTTTTCCATTCAATAAAGGGGTGTGTGTGTGTGTGTGTAACTTTTCAATTTTATTTAGAGTCCATTAGAAGGAAAAAGGGGGTGGGGGGACAGTGTACAGAGCTGTAGAATTGTTTTGTTAAATAATTTTTAAAGATATTCAAGTCAGTGACTAGATAAAATTTTGCCCTTGACTAAATACTAGAAAAAGTAAATTATTTTAAAGTTTCAGGAGAGTAGTAAAATGGCTTAAAAGCCAAGCATCTGTTCAGAATGGCTTCTATTCATATTTTAAGTGGAAAGGAAGAGTAGTTGGGATTATTCCAACCGCAAAATCACAGGAAGAAATATAGTTGGGCCCAAATATGGCTCTGCTTTCCCGACTCGAGTAAAAAATCACTTTTTTTTTTTTTTTCATTTGACTTGCAAATATTTTGTCTTTTGCTCTATAAAAATTTCCGTGATATCTCATTATAACCTAATGATCCATCTGTATTTCCGATCCCATTTTTGTATGTGCCAGGTCCGCTATAAAGTATTTTTTTTACCCAGTGAGCTGCTATGCTGTAAGATTGGAGAAATCTGAAATTTCAGTTATCTGCATTATATTCTGTAAGATACTTTTAATGAATTAAGACTCGAAGCGGAGACATCGCAGGTATTTTTTGTTACCCATCAAAACCGATCCTTTCTAAACTGGAGGGACGAATGGCATGATTTGTGAGTGGTGCCCTTTACATTTTCAAACGGTTTGTTTACAGACCTCACTTCAGTATCCCTACATGCTAGGATGGTATCTTCGAGAGAAACCTTCAAAATGAACCCGACCTGATTGGTCACAGAGCAGCCGAAGGGGAGTTGCTTAGAAAGATGCAGGATGGGGTCACCATGGAAACGCACCCTTGTGAGGTCCTTCGAAGGAGCCATCCTTTGCAGTCGCCATGGCGACCCTGGCAGAGAGCTGAATATAGCAATCTAGCCTGGTTGTTTACCATGGCAACTGGAGCAGGGCCACGGCGGAGACCACCCTGGGGCCATTTCTATAGAGACCTGTGGGGCCGCCTTCAGAGGCTCCATCAAAGGCGCCTCTGGGTGGGATGTGAAATGCGAGCCCAGCCCAGCAGCTCTCACGGAGAAGGTCATTGACACGAAGCTCTCCCAAGACAGCCAAGACAAGGGCAGTTATAATTATTGGGTAGAAATATAGCCGTGATGTAAATTCCAGAGGTCACGTTGCGCGTCAGGTGATCTTTTTTTTTGTAATAATGTTTAAATATGTTTTTAATTATTTCAGAGAGAGGAAGGGAGAGGGAGAAAGAAATAGAAACATCAATGATGAGAGAGAGCCATCGATTGGCTGCCTCCTGCACGCCCCCTACTGGGGATCTGAGGATGGAGCCCGAAACCCGGGCATGTGCCCTGACCGGGAATCGAACCCCGACCTCCTGGTTCATAGGTCAACGTTCAACCACTGAGCCACACCGGCCAGGCACGTGACCTCTGTGTGGGCTTGGTGGCATCCAAATACAAGGCTCTGGTCTTTCCCTCGGCCTGTGACTGTGTGTGTGCTGTCAGATGGCCTTGGTGGCATTATTATAAGGTCTTCTCCCTCAGATACACCCACAGAAATTGATGTTTTCCTGCCAACTGAAATAACGTTTTGGAGTGAATTCCTTGATTTATTTCCTGGACAGCTGTAAAGTGGCTGCTTCTCAGGGCTTGTGGTTTGTGGTCTTATCTCACAATAATAAAATCAATGGGTTCAGAACAACCTGGACTCAGGGAAGACTTCCCCGATACTCATGTGCGGGCCAGCGTAGCTGTTCACTTAGAGTTTTGTCATTTGGGCTTTGGAATTCGACGTAGGATCAGATGCCAGCTCATCTGCTGATTAAGTCTGTGACCTAGGACACAGTTTCTTTGCTTCTTTTAGCCTCGTTTTATCACCTGTAATTTGGGGAGTACTTGGTCCCTTTCCGGGAAGCCTATTTCAAGATTAAATCATACAATGTGAGAAAACTCCTTGGGTGAGAGTAACACCCAGGAGCTGTCAGCGGCTGCCGTTTTGACATGAGAGACGGGTCCTGGGAAATGACGGAGGAGCAGGGAAGGTACTCGATGTAGAGTGGATGTGATGAGTAGGAAAAGCGCCAAAAGCGAGGTAAACTGAGGCACCAGGTTGACGTCCAGAGAGCAGGTGCAGGGAAGGCAAGGGGTGCGGTGCGAAGGTGGCCGCGGTCGGATAGGAGGGGACCCTGTCACGTGTCGGGCCCGAGGCAGTGGGGACCCAGTGAGGACCTGAAGCGAGGGCCGTGGGGCTGCAGGGGGCAGTGGACGCTCAGGGATGCGGGTGGGCGGTCACCTCCGCAGCACCAGGGGCCGCCCGTGTTCCAAGCTGCTGGTGACCCGGACTTGTTAGAAGGGCAGACGGGGGCCCCCTAAACTGGGCTAAGCTGGAGCTGGAGATGGGACAGCTCGATACAGAAGCTTCACTCTCCTGACGCAGGAGAGACCGGGAGCTGCTCCACGGCTCCCTGAGGAAGGCGCTCAGGCCGCCGGGCTCCCCGACTGTGGGGACAGAGGGGTGACGGCGTCTGGGGTTAGGAGGGGAGCGCGGCGCTGGGAGGAACCTGTGGGTTTGCAGTTTAGACGTTTTCGGAGTCGCAGCTCCGACTGAAAATGCTTATTCACCACACCGCCTCGCTGTGAGATAAGTAAGGTTCATCTGTGCTGCTAACTAACGCTGCCGGCCCGTTTTATTTTTATTTTTATTTTTGAATGGGTGATTTATAGTTTTGCACTCAAAGCAGCATTCAGATATAAATGAGTATGAAACACTTGACATTTAACAATATGTGCACGGAATCCGAGAGCTGGATCTGGAGACGACGCCATAGCTGTTCAGCAGGGTATTTATGTGAGCAAAAAATAAATTTGCATTTTCATAAGATCATTATGACCTGGATTTGCACGTAGCCGCATTCAGCAGATACAAACAGATACCAGATTTATTCACGCCAGTCCTTGCTCTGTGTGACTTGCTATTTTTGAGCCAGTATTTTACCCGTATCTTCAAATAATGGTTATTAATCCTTGAATGTTCTCGATAGCATGCTAAACGCTGCACAGAGCAACACTGCCTTCTCTCTGAGCTGCAAAGGAATATTGACAGTGGGGGGGGGCAGAGGTTGCCTTTATCCTTTCTCAGATATTTTTGCCTTTCCTTTCTTGCCTGACCATTTTTACAAATTTCTTTCCTTCTCTGTGCCTCATTTCCTAATATCTGTTCTCTCTCTGCTTCTTTTTCGTCTGTTTGCATGTGTGTGTGTGAGAGAGAGACATGCAGGTCCACACACGTCCACACACACACACTCACCCAGCGGGAAGGATGTGAAGGACACGTCCCAGTGGACGGAGAAGGGGCTGTTTTCTTGTGTATCTCTTTTTAACGGTTTATCCTAGAAAGCACCCGGCAGACTCCTCCTCACATCTCGCTGGCCAGACCTGTGAAAAATCCACGGTCAAGCTAGTTACCTGGAGTGGGCCTGGGACCATCAGAATTGACTTAGACCAGCCACTACCTACCCCCATGTAAATACCTGGA